CCTCCACAGTTGACAGAGTGAGAGACAGAAAATGGAGCAGGGGAGTGCAGTTAAAGGGAGGGAATAGAGAAAAAAAGGAACGAAATTTAGAAATGTGACTCTGGCTCAATAAATACCTTTCTAAACCACTATAGAGAAGCTGAGCTGTACCTCTACTAAGGCCTCAGGACCCACCTGCAACTGGAATTGGTTTCCTGTCTTACACGAACACTGTTGCACCCTAATCCATGTAATTACATCTCATATTCCACATGTGTAAGTACACATGTACAACATTATCGTCATACGTTTTTTTAAAAATCCGAACACGGGCCTCCTGCGGCCTCAAACACTGAAAAAACCCTCATATGCTCATTACAGTAACAGTACATTTACCAAACAGGAAGACAAAAAGGAGATTCTCTTGCTACATTAATAACTTTTAAACACCCTTATGTCCGGGCGTCTGCCACTGAAACAAAGCCTGCACTGGAAGGGGAGACGAGTGTGATTCTGTGGCTGTGTGTGCCCCTGATAGTTTGAATAAGCATTCCAGTGAGTGTGTGTGCAATTAGAGGTTAAGACTGTTTGTGTGTGTACAGTATGTGTATGTGTGTGTGTGTGTGGTTGCGTGGCGGTGGTGGGGGTTGTTAGCGGTTCCATCTGGGTCTTCTGGAAGCCGTGTGGAGTCAGGAAAACCACATCTCATAAAAGTGGAGGCAGCCCAATGTTCTACAAGGACAGAACATTACTGAGAATGTCGCTCAGGAAAACCCTGGGCTTCGGCCCATATGTTGGCTGCAAATGCTCTATCACTCTCTTTTTTTTTCCACTCATTCTCTCCCTCACTACTTATTTTTCACTTGGTAAGGGATAAGAAAGGGGAAGACAAAATAGACAGCATGGAGTGTGGGAGACAGAGGCTGAGAAGCGGAGAGAGAAGCCGGTACTGATGGCAATTCCATGTGTCTGTATCGAACAGAGGAGTGAGCGGTGACAGGCTGCGGGATGGGGCGAAATGGGGGGAGGGGGGCATCTGGTGCACATTGGCTCTGGGTCTGTCTGGAAACTACCATGAGAGGGGAGAGAGGGATGAGTAGAGGTAGGGAGAAAAGGATGAAGGGATGAGGAGCGGAGAAGGTAAAAAAAAAAAAAAAAAAAAAAGGTCTTGCCAAAGTGAAGGGCAAGGAATTCTTGGAACAAATAAATGTGTCTGCTGGTCCCATACTAATGTCTTGGATTGAACATGAAGGTGGGTCTTTTTTGGGGAAACAACTGAGGAATAAAGCGGAGTAAATTGCAACAACAAATATGACAACCATACACTTTTAACTCTCAGCCATAACTGTAAGCTGGACGTCTCGTTGCTTTAGTTAATGTGATTATTATGTTTTTTGACTACAAAATGTATAGAAAGAAACTTGAGGATAACACTTAAAATGATCCCTAAGTAAAGCTGCTTTCTGCTGTACATTTAAAGTGTACCTTTTTACCAATAGAGACATTTTCTCCATGTTTCTCCCTTTTCTGGTTTTGTGGTGAGATGAGCAATCAGTACAGATTATATACTACAAATAATGAAGAGTCAAAAGATGTACAGAACAAATTGGTGATATAAAATGGAAAGCTGGTATGATTTGATTGAGCAAAATAAGGAGCTGCTTTCTTTTTGGTCACTTTGAAACTTTTGAAATCCAACTCAATTTTTTTTTTACTCCAAAGAAAAGTTGTAATATTTCTGGCTAATGGTGTTATGGATTATTGAACAGAACAAAATCCAGCTGGTGGTAAGTGTAAACATTGCCAGTTAACTTTAAAAAGCATTAGAATGGGATGTAAGGGAGTTCTTTTCTTAGCATGTCTGGCATCAAAAGCCTATTCATTGGAAACGTAAACATACCCAGACATTATATTATTGCACAGATTCATCGCCATATGAACACAAACCTGCATGCATACAATGGTATACTGAAGTGACTTACTTTGAGAATTTGCAGAAAAAGAACTGTGTTCATGCTTTAGGAGAATGGTTGTAGGACTGAACGTCAGGCTTATAGAGTGGGAGGGAGGACGATCGTTCATTTTAATGGTTATTGATGTCACGTATAATTCCTCTCCTTTACAAATGAAAATTCCAACCACACCAGCCGCCACCGAGCTTTTAATAATGACGATTAATTTCTTGAGGTTCAGGAGCCTATTACAAAGGAGTGTATGCATATTTAGTCACACCTCTACGATGTGTAATTTTGTTATGCAGGGTATGGCACAGAGAACAGAGGGGGGAGAAGTGGAGCTCTGGTTTTCACATTAATGAATTCCTTTTGTAAATAAGAACATAAAAGCCATGGTGGCATATTTGTAATATGACAATGTTGTGTGAAAAATCGTCTAAACAAGATCTCTGTGGCGATAATGATGATAATTAACGTTGGTGCTAATGCTGAAATGAGTGGTGATGAGATGACACTGATGCTTCTGATACTGTGAACCAAACATTTGTGACTATGCCGAGCTTTTCTAGGACATTCATGTTAAAAAGTGTTGGCTTTACCTCGCTGTGTGTAAAACAGTACGCTAGATGTCTTAAAAAACCAAGAAGAGTCCAGGTGTTCTAATCCTGTTCATCCAGGTGGGAACACATACAGTGGTGTGCAACATAGTTGTTCACTTTGTATTTGCCTTCTTCATACTGTGCATCCAATGGTCAGGCAGCAGAGGAGCTGCATTCAACTGTCAGCTCAGAGAGTTCTCAGACCCATCTCTGAAACCCATACACACGGACAGCCGGACAAAAATACACTCACACAAGCTCTTATTGATTTGTATTGTTCTTAATCACAACTAGTTCATGTTATTGGGCAATACTTTGACTTATATTAGAGACAACAAAGAGCTACAAAAAGTGTACTAACAAGACCTATAAAACTTGAAATAAATGTATTAAAAATAGAGGAGTCTTTAGAAAATAATAAAGAGATGTTGGAGGTATTTGCTTGATAACTGAAGTGTTTCAAACTTTATCTTATTAAAGTAGAAATTTCCAAGATAAGCCCTGTGGTCTTACCATTTTTTTTAAATAATAAATCATTAGGTTAACATGTTTGAAGGACTCACTGCTAGGATGACAGTACACTAATTCATCATGAAATAATGTCCCCTGACATCTGTATAAAAAAGACTACTTATTACCTATCATCTGCAATGCTGTTCTCCTCTTTTTATCTCTCATTCAGTGCAGCAGAGTGCTGGAGAACACGCCACTGACACAAAGTGTGGCCCGGAGGGGTCAGGGAAGATGATTGAATTTCATAGCTACTTACAGGCTAATAGGGCCGCACAATGACTACTTACTGTCCTTAAGTAACTGGCTGCTTCGCACCCGCTGCGGCCTCTTTGAAATCCTTTTGAGGAGATCTAGAGGATTTAGCCGGTAGCGTGACATGAGGCTGAGCAGTTGAGCAACGGTGCTCCCACCAGCTGACTATTAGAACCAGCTGATGTAAACACAGAGGCTATGACTATGGGAACGATAAGGCTCCAAAGGTTACTCAAAACAAGCTTTTCTCACAAACTGATGATTTGGAGAATTTCCCTCAGAAAATATTGAAATCAAATGGTGAGAATGTGAAGGGCTGTCAAAACAACTTGTGGTTAAATCAATTCAAAATAAAATTATATATATACAATTAATTAACAAAATATGGAATGGACATTGTTTTTATTCATTTTTTAAATTTAACTAATTCTATTAATTATAAGTTAAGATTCTAGCAAGAAGGAAACTATAATGATTGATTAAAGATAAAAATGTTGTTTTTCAATAAGACAAATTTAGAGAATATATTCACAATAACAATACAACTAACAATATAACTATTATTCAATTAGAAATGTAATTGAAGAACTTTAGTGGGTTGATGGATTTTTTTTTATTCCTGGACTATTTTGATATAAATTCATTTTTGACATATTTGACCAAAAATATCTGCAACATGCAGTATTTACTTTAGAACTCCTGGGATGTTAATGTTTATTTTGTGTGTGTGTGTGTGTGTGTGTGTGTGTGTGTGTGTGTGTGTGTGTGTGTGTGTGTGTGTGTGTGTGTGTACGTGTGTCTCTGTTTGTGTGTGTAAGACTTTCAGAGAAAGGGAATGGGTCTGCGAGTGTTTTACTCACAGAAGCTGTTTCCACATACAAACCACCCTCTCCTCACCATGCTGTTCCACTTACACTGGTGGAATACTAAACCATATACACATACAGATAAGCTCACACAACACACACATGCACGCACGCACACACACACACACGCACGCACACACGCACACACACACACACACACACACACACACACACACACACACACACACACACACACACACACACACACACACACACACACACACACACAGAGCTAACCACATGCACATGTTCACTTGCTCTTAACTAATTCATTCAGGAACACTTTGGTTTGGGTTTCAACACCAAAACCTCCGTACCTTTGATTGAGAAATGTGTCTGACTGCAATTATATGGGGGGGGGGAGGTTAGGTAGAGGGAAGGATGGATGGAGAGGAAACGCACTACAGTGGTTTTATAGTTTGCTGGCGTGACATTTTTCTGCACTTTTTTTTTTTTCTCAAATCCTTTCCTTTTTCCAGCCGAGGGCAGAGTGTTGACAGGGCAGGAAAAGGGGGCAGACTGGAGTAGAAGTAACAGCGGGGAAAATGTGGAGAAAATGGATGGGGAATGGGACTGAAGTGGCCGAGATTGTCGCTTTACTACTTTTGATCGATACCTTTCACTATAACTGCAGAGCGGGAGAATTTGTAGATACACTTGGAGAGAAAGGTGTTAATTTTCCCCTTCCAAATTTCACCCAAAAATTGCAATAAATATGAAAGCGTGTGAGGAGATGCTTTTGTGTGGAAGCAGCAAGTACCGCTTCTACTTTGACGTGACATTCCAACTAAACCTATATGATGTTTGGCATGGTAGAGCGCGTGTTGGTCACTGACCTGCAGTATGTAGCCCCTGACGTAGTCTCGGAGGGTCCAGCCCAGGCCGTGCAGGATGTGCAGCACCTCTTCCTGCTTCAGCACGGAGAAAAGGCGATCGAGTAGAATCTTGAGCCTCACGGGTACGGCCTGGGTCCCATATAGCATCAGGCTGCTGATGTCGAACACCACGTTGCACTGAACTATCTCTACCTGCGTAGGGTGGTACAGGTGCTGGGTGCTGAGCTTGTCCAGAGCTGTTACAAGAAAAAAAAAGCACACACACACACACACACACACACACACACACACACACACACAGGCCTCATTAATGACTATCAAGTTTCTCTCTCATCCCAAATCTTCCTGTGGAAGCTCCTGCACGGTCAGCACTGGCTGATGATAACATATGAATCAGATAAAAGCAATGACATTACAGTAATTATCTGCAATTCTTTCTATTTAATCTAATCTCCTGCTCTTTCACAGTTTAGCTGCCCTTGCATCTCCAATTTTATTTCCTCTTCTGTCTCCATCCTGACCTGCATTAGAGCCACTCTTTGTGTTTGCTGGCTGGATTTGCGTTCCTTATCGCATTACTTTGAAGCTTATTTATTTGTATTTAATCAGGGAGAACCTAAAGTGGTTTATTAACTATGAAGTCAAAGACATAGGACTGGTTTTGAAAGTAATTTCAGGTTCTTCAACCTGAAAACAAACCATTACCGTAGAATAATATAGTGAAATAATATCGTGATTGTTTTAATGAAGGTATCATACCAAGATAAACCTGTATTATGTGATGTAAATCATTGTGTTATTAATATACTGTCTCTGCTTAAAGTGTTGGCAATTTTACTTAAATACAAAATTAATACAAAATAATGAACATGTTTAATGATATATCTTTCTCTATCTACTAAATAGACAACTGCCCTAAAATCTTTATTTTATTTTAACATGTTTTAGCAGCATAGCTACATGGATTAAATGATCATTTATCCCCTCTTTTAACCCAAAGAGCACATCAAGGAAGTGTGGGTACCAGGGTGGAGTAATATCTTCAGTGTCTCTTTGGCTGCATAAAGCCACTTAATATTTTCAGCAATAGGTTATAGTTGCATGTATGTTTCCTGACATTCAAACGGAGGGCGATAAAAGTCAGCTATTAGTACGTTTTGTTATTGACCCGTCTATTTGAACCTCAGTCACCTCTTCCTCCTCTCAGGCTGTCTGTGCGACACATGGTCAACTCTCACTTTCTCTCCTCCCTTGTCTCATACTTCTCTTTCTCTCTTTCTCCCACCCCTCCCCTCTTTCCCTGCCTGTCTGGGTGACACCTGGTTGGGTCTCTCTCTGATCCTGGGACGGCTTTTTCCTGCTGACGAGGGCTTTGCCTGACAACACAGCACAGCTAGACACGAACATAATAAAAAATGAAGAACTACTTGTCAGAGTCCCTGCCAATGCCGACATGAAATGAAGAGTGGGGGGGAGGAGAGATGGGTGCTTGACAGTTCAGAGGGAGAGATTAAAAAATAGTCAATAGGGTCCTGTGCGAGCCGCTGAAGGGCCCACGGCCCAGCTCTTGTGCGGCCGCAAGCCAAACAGGTGTTTTCTTTTTTCCCCCCCTCCTCCTTCTCTTTGTACTTTTCTTGCCTCCTTTCTCTTTTTCATACCCCCGTGAAAAACTCGGAACGTGTGGTCTCTTGCTTTCATATCTCTCTTGTGCTTCTGTTCTACGATTAAAAAAAAAATCTAAAGTACTAAAACAAGACTTTGAAAACAGCAGAAAAATATAGAGGCATACCAAAAACAAAGTTACTGCTACTGTGGAAAATCAGTGAAAATATTTTGATTCTAGTACATTCATATCCACAGATGGAGAGAAGCTGCTCTCTGAAGTCACCTAAACATAAAAAAAATAGTACGTTATGTCAGATGCCTTCATGCTGCTTGCATCTGTGAGTGGATGTCTACACAGAAGAGCGCACTGATATAGGTCAGAGCCTTTATGTCTTTCACAACAAGAGGGAGATTACGCTGTAAGGATCAAATACTTAAATCAAGATACACACATCAGACTAACAATGAATTACTTACCATGAGCTACCCAGCCGTGTTTGCACTGGTCACATGTTCTTAGGTGAATCTTTCCGGGCTGGAAACACTCACATGTGCAGTTCACCAGTGTGCAGCGAATGGCCTGCAGAGACAAAGGACACAGACAGAGACGAACCCTCGTCAATCACAGAGTTTATAAAGCAAGAGCTGAGAAAGAGCCAACTAGAGGTCATAAATACAATAACAGACACAGCAACAAACTATTCAAAATGACGGTTGAATAAAGGCTCATCCCACACCGAATAGAATACTTTTCCCATGTTTTTAAAACAAATCAGTGAGATACAAACAAATAAGTATGTTGCACCCCCAAAGAAAAAGTTTCAGCTGCAACATTTCACAACTACTTTTGCATTGCTAATCTGCCTCTCCATAAGGTAATATCCCAGAGTTCATGTGAACCGACAAAGGACTTCCCCTCTTGAAAACACAGAAATGTAACTTGTTTTGACTGAGGCTCCATTACTCAACACTGGAGCTGCACTCAGTCTGACCTTGGAAAGCTTTTAGTAGTGAGGGGTTAAGTGTCCAGACTTGACGAGGGCAACTCAGTACAGCACAATGCGTCATCTGCTGAGGGCTTAATCCTTCACAAAGGCCTGCTAAAAACTTGTAACCAAAAACTTCAGGTACATTTTTACAAGAGGCCATTTGATCCTTTAAGATGTTTCACATTCTCCAGGCAATTAAGAATTTGTACAGGCATTTAAAAAGAAACGTATGATACGCACAGAAATCCACACAAATCATCACAGCGTCATCTTCCAAATGAGCGCCGCAGCTGGGAGTCGTAAATTTCACTGACGTGGAGAAACAAGGAAGTCAAAGGAGAATAGAAGGAGTGAAAGGAGAAAAGAAACATGAATCTTTATCAGTGCTGGCAGAACTTTGTTTACCCGACATATTTTACATTATCAAGATAAATTGATGAATAAAGATAGTAACACTTCTGCAACCTAAACTGCCTACAGGGAGTCTGAGGCTGTAGGAGGATTGATGCAGCTTATGGAAAACAAAAACCCTGGAACAATTTTACTCTTGCAAAACATCTCTTCTGAAATCCAACAGTGTTTCCTGAACGTTAGCATGTAATGGCAGCAGTTAAAAGACCCTACAAGATAATAACTTATCAGACTAAAAAGACAACTCAGAATGACGAGGATTATGTCTTTTACATTCTGCTCATTTGGAGTCATTGCAAACGACAGAATGTTCTTATCCATGTGGTCGACAGAAACTCATCTGACTAAAAAACTGAAGCTATACCTTGAAAAATGTGAGGAATGTTTGAGGCAGGAAATTGACAGCAAGTAAGATGACTACTGTGAACAGCTGACTATTTATTGTAACAGAAATATCCTAAATGAAATGCTTTACAGGTCGAAATATTAGTGCACTGTCAGTAAAGTTACATGTGAGTGTCTGAGGGAAAAGGAAGGAATAATGCGACAAAGACTCTGCTTGTCCTCCTCACAGCACAGCTCAGCTACCAGAGCGTCAAACTTTATGACCTTACAATCAGCACTGAACGTGTTATCTCATTTTCTCACTGTTGTTCTTACAAGGCACCTGTGTGACAATACTGTGACACAGACGTGCACCCAAAGGGTCGTAGGTTGGAGTCCATGTCTGCGCATACAGCCTGTTCGACAGAAACCCGTCAATCAGCACTTTCAGATAGAACAGAATCAGCCTTTACGCCACGCAGCTGAGGTCAATGCACCATTTAATAATTCAGTTTTTTTTTTATGTGCACCAACACACCCGAATGTGCACGTTCTGGTGTTTAACAGCAGCAAATCAAATAACCCATTTAGTGGATTAAACCAATATCCTGTAATTCAGGATGTAAACCTCAGCTCACTCATAATCTACTAAGGGACCATAAAATCTATCAGAATCCCTCCTGCTCACCCTAAGGTGTTGTAAACCAGATTAGTAACCGAAGGTGTCAAAGTGAACATGGGCTAATCCAAGATTAAACACAAAATTACACCACTTCTAACAATGTCACCTCCCTGTTTGACACCGAACGAGGCAGGAGGCAGAGATTATTTGACTTTACACCATTTTTAAGCTCTCCAGGTGCAGGCACGGCAATCCTCACCGTGTGTGTGAGGATTATACGCCGTGTGTCAGTTTGAGTGTACACTAAGCTGATGTCCTTATTCCCAATAACGTGCAACATGGGAGTTCAGAAGTTCCGCTCAAGGACCAAATTTGCTAAAATTGTGGCAGTTCATAAAGGTTCAAGCTAGAGTCAAAGCATGTGAGATTTCAGATACAGAACAACCTACAGTATATTAAGTCAGCGGATCAGACTTCATGGTTAAGGTCCTCCTTTTATGTATTTATCTACACTTAACCTTAAAAATTACATTGATATAAGTGGAATTGAACTGCTTGAAAAAATCTTTTCACGTCTGTCTAAGAATTCAAACTTTAAAAATAAGACTAAAAGCTAAAGAAATTGTCATTTTCTGAGCAAACAAAGCCCCCCAAAAAGTGCACGTTTAGATACAGTATGTCAAATGTAAATAGTGGCCAATATACTGTAGGCTGCTCTCAGTCAAAATATGCAACATTCTGCACTTTACACTTTTGACTCCAGAAAAATTACAATTAATATTTGAGGTATTGTATTAAATGGGAAAATGATAAGCTGCTGGAGCCCTCATGATGTTGCAGACAAGTCCTTCCTGTCCTCTTCTTTATCCGACACTGCGACATCATTTTTGTGATTTGTGAATGAACTTCATGTCAACTGTTTGCCAGAGAAGACTTTTTATAAAACTCTCCTTGCAAAAATATTCCGCAAACTCCAATTTAGAGTTCCCAAATTTAGCACAGTAGTGTCACACAACACAACCCTTTTCCTAATTACCCGTAGCTCTGTGCGGCTGCGCTAGCAGCAGCAGAAGCAGACGGAAATAAACAATTGCAAATATCAAATGCACCTCTGCTGTTTACGAGCCGGGGTCTGACAGCTGACAAGATAGTTAAGGGGCGTCTAATACGGCAATTAGAGCGTGCCACTGTCTGTGAAGCTGCTGCTGTGACAAGGCGCCCTCTAATCACTGACTTATTACGTTGGCTAGCAGCACCTCTCATATCTGGCCCATTAAGCAGACAGCAGCATTAAGAAGCATTAAAGCAGCAAACCCCCTCAGCTGAGGAGGCACTGACGTGAGGGAGGGAGGGAGGGAGGGAATGTACCGTGCCTGTTATTTCTTGGAATTAATTTGTGCATTGTTTTGCGTTTAGTGAGGAACACGTAAGAGAAGAGTAACACCGGAGATGTTTTGTATATATGACGGCATCCGAAGTGATCGTACGCAATAACATAAAAGATTGCAATCTGATAACGGGAGTTTTACCACAGACGAAACATCAAAAACTTCATGATGAAGTATATAAGTTCAGAGATGTGTGTGTGTGCGTGTGTGTGTGTGTGTGTGTGTGTCTGTGGCTTGTCAGAGGAAATAAGACAAACTCATACAGCCTTCTTCTCATGACTCTCATGAATGCTGCTTCTGCGGTCAGCATGGATCTGCGCTTCATCTGGCCGTGGTTTAACCTGTGTCTGGCTTGGGCTGGGTCAGGGACAAGCTTGGGCCCGGATCCCACTGCTACACTCGCACATATTTGTCACAGCAGGCCAGGGGAGGAGGCTGTGTTATCTGAGGCCTGCATTAGTCAGTGTGCTAGCGTCTCGCCAGGGTTTCCTCTTTGGCTCACGACTACAGAGGACGTCGGTGAGGAAAAGGACAGAGGAGTGTGTGTGTGTGTGTGTGTGTGTGTGTTTGTGTGTGTGTCTGTGTGTGTGTGTGCGTGTGTGCGCGTGTGCTTGAGAGAGACTTAATAAAAAAAGAGCAGTTAGAAGGTGAAAGCGAAGAAAATCCCAAACTGCTGTTTCAATTAAACTCAGACAACAGTCAACAGTCTACCGTACTGCTGCCGTGTTCCCGCTCTGGTCAACAACATAACCTAGCCGCTTCAGAAAGCATCATTTCCAGCTCTTATCTTGTTTAAGTGTGTGTGTGTCTCATTGCTGGGTTTTGTTTAGCTGGAGGCTTGATGTTTCGTGGATGTTTTGCTTGGCTCGCAGTCCCTGTCCCAGCCCAATTGTATAAACACTGACAGTCAGCAATGGCCAGCACCAGACTGGGGAGGACTCTCAATTAAAAGACTGTTAGTTGGACAGATGGAGTGAAGAAATGCGGGAAAAGAGGAGCTGCAGAACAAGATGGCTTCAGCCTGGACACTTACAGATTTTCAAACAGACTGAGAAAAACAGGCTCCATGGCAAAGGATCGATACTGATACATGTAAATAAGTCCAACCCTAAACCATGCAGCATATGTAGAGCTCAACAAAGACAGTTCCTTGGCCATTACAGTACTCATGAAACCACAGAACTGATCATGATCCCAAACTAATATCCTGTACAACTCTATTACTATCCTGTCATTTCTCAAGGTTGATGTTGTAACCATATGCCCCTGAAGACACCACTAAAACACAAGCAGTCCCTCTCTGTATCCTCCCCTGACAGCATACAATGGAAAGCCAGCACAGACAGCTGCTGGATGCTGGCGGGGCATTGTTCCCCTGTCTTTAATTGAAACCTTTTACCATGTTCAACACACAGCCACAGACCACATTTCTTGTTTTGGTGAGTTAAGCAAAGCCGAGCTTTAAATGAAAACCCCGTGTGTACATATGCATCCGTGTGCATGTGTGCGCGTCGTCTTTGCAGCAGCAGCTTCGGATTTAAATTTGTCTCTGCTTAGGGTCACTGTAAAACACTGGGAGCATCTTGTCCTCTCTTCCACCCACAAGATATTATCTCATCCCTGAGTTAGCTGCTGAAATTCTGTCAATTTCCTGCCAGAAATGTGCGGCCAACGTGTGTAGGAAAAGAGGCACAGCAGCTTTGCGTGTCATAAAACAGGGCCCTGGCTCAGTCAGATAGATCAGGGCTTCACAGTGTCCATATTGGAAACAGGTGACAAATAAAACACGCTGAATAAAGAAAGTCTTTGTAGTCAGACATAGCACGCCCGAAGTACAGGGAAGCAAATACT